TTCTAGTAAATTTTGCTGTTACTTTAATGTGTGCACACAAACAAAAAAACTACCTATATAGGGGGAAATTAGTCACAAAGTTCCCATGCCAAGGAGAAAAGCAATAAACTGAGCTCAACATGAAACCAGGAAGCTTTCAATTAACAAGGGAAAGACCTAAAGAGCACTGGTGGTCAGACCTGCTCAACAGAAGAGCCACATCCAGTAAACGTCAACTGTCTGAGAGCCGCACGTGGGTGTTTGTGGGTGGCGGCAGTGGGCAGCAAGTGGCTAGCGGGTGCCCGTGGGCAGTGGCCATGGGTGGCGAGGGGCAAGCGGGTGCCCACGGGCACCCTGAGCAGTTAGCAGCAAGCCGCAAAATAAACTCAATGATCCTCACGAGGGTCCCAAGCCTTGGTTTGGCTAAAGAGGGAACTTGGTTGTGGGGAAGGACAATACTGGATAACATAGCGCTATATTAAGTGCTTGCATGGAATATCCATTTTAATTCTACTAATTATGAAAACCCAAAGCCTCATTAGCGCTAAGGGGCTCTATTATGGGAACATCATTGGTAAACACCCTGGTGTGATAAGCTTGCACTTACAGAATTTGCCATACCCAGCCACAATTAGCAGAATGTGGATTTCCTTTCGTTCTCTTTGTGTAACTGTGACAAAATAACGAGCGGTGCTTAACAGAGCTTTGGTGATTGGGTGGTAATAAATAAATAAATGTTATTAATTTCAGGTTTCCTCTACCATGAGTCACTCTGAGTGTCACAAACTGAAAACAACTCACAATTATGTTAGTCATCAGCCCTTTTGTCTTTATATTCAAGCAGCTATTGCGCTCAATGGGACCAAATCTGGAATTAAGCAGAAATAAATTCCGGTACAGGGGAGAAGCTGTTAAAACCCTGTGCGCTCCGGAAAGCTACCTTTTAAATGGCTCCACAGACATGAACACACTTTTACACTCAAGCCAGAATGACTCCAGCCCTGAGCATCAGCATCAATATGGCATTTCCTGGTTTTTCTCAATCTCTCTTTCAAGCCTTTTTCTTCTACAGTAATTATGGACCATTGTCTCCTGCCACAAATGCTGGCAGTACAACGTGTTCCACAACATTTAACTCCTTTTCTCTGCTGCCATTCTGGAGCTTCACGGCTTAATGATACAGAGTCAGTAGATCACAATATGACCCTGTTAATATTTTTAATGCCATTTTTACAAATTACACCATAATGCACCGATTACCAGGATGAAAGCAAAATCTCGGCTGCGTCTGTCTGGAGCCCAAATAAAAGAACGTTTGAACATCTGTTCATCCTACAAATGTCTTTAAAAGCTTTGATTTTCCTGTAATCATTTGGTTCCACCATTTCACTCGTTTTCTGAATGTGTATCCAACAGCCTCAGGACAGTAGCCAGAGATCAGTGGTAATAGTACATTATAATCAAAGTTCCTGGGCGCACTTCTGTTTTCCTTTCAGAATTAACTAGAAGGGGATGAGGGAAAACAGTTCTCAGCTTTCTGTCCTTTATTAATACTGAGCTCATAGTGCTAGCCAAAATGAAGGTAAAGAAAAAAAACTTCACTGAGAGGTTTAATACAAAATTCTAAAGCACAAGGATATCTCCTAGCCACACTGAGGGGAGTAGGCGAGCTATTTCTACAGCTATTTCTATTGACTACTGTTCATACCCTTTTTCAAGAAGAGATAATAGGCTCAAGTCCAGCTAGATGTTCTGCTCCATTTACCAGATGTTTCCCCAGAAGTGCAAAGCATGCACTCCAAACATGGTCAGAGGCATACCTTTGTTTATTAAACACTGTCTATGTAATGTCCATGTAATAAGGAAGGCTGAGCGCCGAAGAATTGAGACCTTTGAATTGTGGTTATGGAGAAGGCTCCTGCGAGTCCCTTGGACTGCAAGGCAATCAAACCGGTCAGTCCTAGAGGAGATCAACCCTAACTGCTCTTTAGAAGGCCAGATACTGAAGATGAAACTCAAATACTTTGGCCACCTAATGAGAAGGAAGGACTCCCTGGAGAAGAGCCTAATGCTGGGAACAATAGATGGCAAAAGAAGAAGGGGACGGCAGAGAATGAGGTGGCTGGATGGAGTC